GACACAGACACAGACACACACACAGACACACACACACACACACAGACACGCACGCACGCACACACACACACACACACACACACACAAACACACACACGCACGCACGCACACAGACAGACTGACAGACACACACACACTCTGCAGGTATAATAATAATAATAATAATAATAATAATAATAATAATAGCAGGTCAAAATAATATGACAATATTTCAGTTTATCTTGATACAGTTGATATATTTTAGATTTTTTTAACTCAACGACAATCAGTATTATTTTTAATATATTATTATAGCATTTATTATTATTATTATTTTGAATTAGCTTTACATTTTTATATTTTCAATTCTCATTTTAATTTTAGCTTTAGTAATTTTGTTTTATAACATTATAAAACAATTTGTTGTTTATTTTAATATTTCTATTTAGCTTTAAATTGTTTTTACTTCAGTTTTAGTTTCAGTGATTTTAGTACTTCAAGTTAAACATATTTAATTCTAGTTAATTGCCAAGGCAACATTTCTAACTTATAATTAATTTCTAGCTAAGTTTTTTAAGTTTTTAGACTTTCATCTAATATTCATATTCATTTCAGCTTTCAGTTCACGAAAATTATTTTTATGAGTTTTAGTTAACAATAATACTGGCAGAAATAAAGTAAATTGACAGAAAATACAACAAATAAATGAAATAAAATTTGTATATTTAAATATGTAAATAATATTTAGGACCTGCATCCAAAAATATTAAACAAATAAATACATCCATACATACATATCAAACTGGAAAATTTGACATCTGTTTTATTTATATTTTTTATTTAGCATATTTACTCCTGATCAGAGGTTCCTGTAGATTAATATTCTGTATATTTAGTAGGTTATGGTTCAACAGTTCAGAAATGAGCCGTAAACCAGCATCTCATCAAACGTTTTTTTTGTTTATGCTGTTAAATGATTGATTTTAATAAAACAAACTGAAACGACAGACTCTTGGCATGTTTGTCATGCTAATAACAGCCTGTCAGGAGCAACAATCACAGTCACACGCAACAGCTCACTTCTGAAAATACTGAGCTCAAACCGACAGATGAAGATAAGAAATCAGCTTCGTTATAGTGCACATACAGCTGCGCGATGATGGAGATTTACTGAGACGTACATGTTTTACAGCGAACACAAAAAGACTGAGAAATGAGGCCAACGGAGCGACTTGACTTTACAACATTAACCTACATACAAACACGCAAGACACGTGAACATGTGACATACAACACAGACACACACGCTACAGCTTTAACTCTGAAGCACAATCTTCATGATCACTCGGACTCTTCACTTTAATCAACTGGCTTATTTTTTAGGGGACTTTTCCTTTAAATGAATCTGAAAATCTAAATGATTCATTTTGATGGTTCACTTAAATGAATCTGCTCATTTGGACTGTTCACTTATAATGAATTGGTTCATTTGCATGGTTCACTTAAATAAACTGGTTAATTTGTACAGTTCACTTAAATTAATTAGGGGTGCGTTTCCCAAAAGCAACTATGGTTGCAAGTTCTGTCTTTACAGATAGAGTTCAATGGAACTGGCGACAATAATTAGCTACCGAAGCGTTTGGGAAAGGCACCCCTGGTTGGACAGTTCACTTATAATGAATCAGTTCATTTGGATGGTTCACTTAAGTGAATCGGATTGTTTGCATGGTTCGTTTAAATAAATAAGCTAATTTGGAAAGTTCACTATAAACAAATTGATTCATTGGGATGATTTACCAAAACGAATCATTCATTTGCATGATTTGATTAATCATTTGTGCATGGTTCGCTTAAATCAGTTCATTTGGATGGATCATCATACAAACATGACACTTCATGATCAACATTCACTCCAATGTACAAATCTCCAATATGTGACTGATGACAAAAACCGCCCACAGTTGGTGAAGCAGCCAATCACAGATCAGACATGAATGCAGTGATGAGTTCATCGTGACATCTGTCTGAACCCGTCTGTGTTTCACTCTCACATTCTTTCAGACGCGCAATCTCCCCGAGCGGCAGGTGAAACCTGAGGAGACGAGAGGAGAAACCGGCACTGGAGGCTCCCACAATGCACTGCAGCAGCTGAACACTGTAATCAAGCCGTCAAGAGGCCAATCACAGCCAGTGAGTGTGTGTGTGTGTGTGTGTG